ATATTTAATGGGGGAGGATGTAACCCAGAAGCTAGAACCTTAATGAGGTACTAACTAATTGGCTTACTAATATGATCCATCCTCAATTTAGATAAAATATAAAATATAAATTAAGGAAATTAACAATACTAATTAATAGATATCTAATTAACTAATAGATAATTTCATAATGAATTATTGGAAGGGTGAATAACTAAAATAACGAGTTTAATATTAAACATCGGTTAAAACAAGAATCTTGAACATCACTAACAGAAACAGAAGAGGAAAGCTGTATACTATTGGTCCAGGTGGGAATCTGAAATTTCATTGGCTGAGAGAAATAAGTCCCGCCTCCGCGAAATAAAACCGTGCGACGCAGCTGAGCGAGAGGAGAGACAAACGGCTGTGCAGCACGCAGATACAGAAAGCAAAGACTGAGCGGTTAGAGAGAGAGAGAGAGAGAAAAAAAAAACAACGGTCGAGGCCGTGAAGAAACCTGATTTGGGTGCCGAGGGAGAGGCGGACTTGACTCCTTCTAATAAGAGCTAGGAACTTGGAACCAACTCGGTGAGTAAAGAAAAAAGAAGAGAAAAAGCTAACGATGCAACTTAAAAAAAAAAGGAAACTTAAATAGCTTATCAAATTAATTCCATTCTTATAGATTTGTGTGGAGACGACAGAGTGAACCAATCCTCTGTAGGAGGGAACCGTTGGAGCGCGTTGGTGAGTGAATGAGATTAAATTCAGTAAATTATTAAATTCAAAAAGCTAATTACAGCAACCGAGGTGACAGCAGTGGGCTGCTAGACGTTAGATCCCAGGAGTTAACATCTCAAACTACCAGTTAACGGTGGTAGGGCATATAGGAGTTAACGGCTCAAACCGCCAGTTAACGGCGGTACGGCATATGGGATTCCCAGGAGTTAACGGCTCAAACCGCCAGTTAATGGTGGTACGGCCTAGATGTACAAGGTCCTCAGGGGCGTTATAGCTAACGCCATAGAATTAGCAATGCGTCCCTTAACCAAACATTTAATAATAAAAAAATAGATAAATAAAAATAAATAAAAGCTAACTGATTAGGGAGGAATTATTTTACAAAGGTGGACCAAAGGACCAGAATTTATATTTTGTTGAATTTTGTTATAGAACATTTTATTTATTTATTTATTTATTTATTTATTTATTTATTTATTGTGTTACAGATATACAAGGTGTCACAATGCTGTATAGAAACACAACTAAATGTATCCTTGTTGTCATGAATGTATTTCTTGTTGAATAGTGTAGAGTAATAGAATCTAACTGAGCCTATTGAGCTGAACAATTGTTGTCATATGTAATTATATTTCCAGAGCTACTGAGAATTATTTTAATAGACAATCAAATTGATGTTATGTTAGTTGAACTGTGAACCCAAACATGATTGGCTATGCCAATAGAGTGAAGCATTTGTTAAGTCTGTAAGACTTTATGCTGTGATGTGACGAGAAGGGTCGATGCCAACTCGCTAACAGTCCTGTTGTTTACAGGCTGGGTTTTTTTTTTTTCCTTGGGTTTGATCCCGACTCCTATGATCACTCACTTGGAACGAGAACTGGATTTCTTCCTGACGAGGGAGATGGCGAGCCTTAACCACTGAACGAACCAGGACATCTCAAGTAACTGAAGAGCAGACTGCTCTCTTCTGTGAACAATCTCAACGGTGCGGTAGGAAAAAATCGCACCACCGGACTCTGACTTTCACCCCAAGCGTGGGGATTTGACTTGACGCCGGCTGACTTGTGACTCATATGATCAAATCTCATACCGAGCATTTTACTATTGTCGATTGTTTTCATCTGTTTTTGTGTGTTATCTTTATGTGTTATATTTCCCATTATTATTAAAATTTAGTATATAAACCGTTTCATGCTATACCCGTGACTCCAGTCATTCTTAAACAACCTCCAATTCTCCCCGAACCTAATTATTGGCCCATTTGTTTATTTTTCTTTTAATTATCTTATTGTATCCTGTAATCCGGTTACAGACGTAATTTTGGGGTGGGACAGGGGGGATATGTCCCCCCCCCCCCTTTTTCCAAAGTCAAGTTTTGACCCCTGCACTTTTTACCATCCAAAAACAATATTACGCTATATTAAATTGACACTGGTTGAGCTCTAGGACCACGCGGAAAACAACGGTTTGTGTTGAAGCCTGTTTCCCATTAGAGCATACTGTAAAGATACCCCCCCCCCCCCCCCCCCCGTGTCCCCCCCACTTCTAAAGTGAAAATTACGTCCTTGTAACTGATTATGTTGTAAAGCGCCTTAGGGGGTTCCAGGACTCTAAAAGGTGCTCTATCAAACACAGGCCATTTATCATTTAAAATAGGCTCTAAAAGATTGACAGAAATAGAGACAAAACCCTTCCTTCATGCTGTCATCTACCTCAAACCTTTTCAGACATTAAACCGGGTCTCTCAGCATCCCTGCTGCAGCTGTAGGACAAAACGTGGTCCAAAAATGAAGTCATGAAAAAAAAAATTTAAATGCAGAGTTTCAATAATAAAGGAGGGTTGACCCGGTCCCCGGATATAAACAGACTTAACCTGTTCTGAGTACCTGAGTCTCCTGCTGCCCCCTAGTGGACAAACAGCCCCACGGCCTCTCTATTAAAGCTGTTTGTCTCTTTGGTCTGAATCCATGACCCGTCTTCAGATCATAGGTGAGAAACAGGAACACTGAAATACGGAAGGACAAAATAAATGATGAACTTCTAATAAATAAGCGTTTTGACCTTTTCTCCTGTTGTTGTTTCCCCGATCTATCAGACGTGTGTCTTCGTTTGATGATATTAATGCTAACAACTCAGCTCTGTTTAAATTTGATTCAGTCATAAATGATGAAAAATACAAAAAGCCAAACGGGCTAAAATAAAACCAATAAAGCATTTCAAATTTTAAAAGCAGATTAATCAAATACTGTAATATGGTACAAGGCCTGTATTTGATAAAGAGCCTTCTAGGGTTCTACCTGTAAGACGAAAGCATCTGCTAAACACATAAACGTGAGTAAAACTGTTTAAAAGTGCTTTTCAGTCCATCGGTCCCAGCGTGCTCTCTATAATTAATGCTTCTCTGGTCTCTGGTCAGGTCCCTGCTTACTTTAAGAACGCTGTAATCCACCCGCTTCTTAAAAAACCGAGTCTCGACCCCTCTCTCCATAGCAGCTTCAGACCCATGTCTAAACTTCCGTTCATCTCCAAGATCTTGGAAGAGGTTGTGGTTGTTGATGGCGTCACTTCCTTTTATCAGCGGGCAGCAGAGGACGATGCCCACGCCCTCGCCGCTGATCACCATGTCCCATGAGTGGTCCAGCATGTAAACTCCTTCGTCCCTGTTCATGGTCCTGGGTCCATATCTCCTTACCTCTGTTGCTTCTTTGATCCATCTTTTGAATTTCTGTTGTTCTGTGTTTATGACCCGTGTGTTCTCCCAGTCCATGATATGATGTTCTTTTGTACAGCGGTCTGGCACAGCTCATTTCTTTATTGTGTTTTCTGCTTCCTGTTTTGCTGCTCTTGTGTGTCTTTGACTCGTTTCTTCTCACACTCCTTTCTATGTCCGGTTTTCCGTGTGTTGACTTGGCATCCGGGTTCTCCTGTGTATGTTTTCTTACACAGTTTCCATGGGATTTTATAAAGGACTCCACATTTTAGCGCTGGTGATATCTTGTCTTTTGGGTGTGCTGCTCTTTTTCTAACTGTCCTAAACGGTTTTGTTGGTGTGTTTATGTTGTGTTTTATCATCGCTGTTGGGATCTTTTCTGTATGGAAGGGTTCTCACTGGTTTTGGCTTTCTGGTTTTTTGTTTGGGTTTGTCTATTCTTTTTGTTCTTATTTTTTGCTTTCCTTTGTTAATTGCCCCTGTTGGGTATCCACAGGTTTTTAAAATGTTTTGGATGTGCTGGTCCTCTTGTCTGCGTTCCTCTTCTTCTGTTATCATGTTTGCTCGGTAGTAAAGTGTTCTGATTACTGACATCTTATGTACGGTAGGATGTCCATGATAAATATTGGTCTGTGTGTGTTTGTGTTCAGAAGGATGTTCTCAAGCATTTTTCTTTGTCCATTATCACTGTTGTTCTTCCTTGGTCTGCCGGTAGAATATTGGTGTGTTCGTTTCTGGCAAGTGATGAAAGAAAACAGTGCACTGCCTATTCCGCCTGTCCCGGGATCCAACAATTTCCCTCTTCCTGTTCGCCTTTTCTCTCCCTTTTCTTACATTTTTTACCCCAAATTTTTAATCTTTTTTTATTTTTGTTATTTTTTTATTTTAATTTTTTTGTTTTTTGTGAAGCGTCTCGTGATTATTATATTGAGAGGTGCTATAGAAAAGTTTTCTTTCTTTTTCTTCCTAATAGTAGTAGTAGTAGTATAATTACCGAAACATAGAGGAAAAAATGCTAATTGTTGTTTTTAAAGTGTCATTTTTAAAAAGAAAATGCTAATATTAATAAAAGAATTTGGAGATTTTTGTTGTTAAAAGTTGATTTTATCTATCATGCTGAAGTGTTTCAAGCCAACCAGCAGGTGGCAGCAGAGGGCGCAGCGTCACCGTTCAACCTGACATCAAAGATCGTATATTTCAAAGAGGGGTTTATCTCTGTTTATCACACCTGAATTACGGCAGTAATAAAACAACAGCAACCAGAACATTTTACAGGCAATTTGCTGATTTCTTGTAACGATTTCGTTTAACTATTTCATTTGTTAAATTCTATGTAGCTAGAACTGAATCTTGGTCCTGACCTGATCCGCTTTGGTCCACTCCCCAGCTGTAGCAGCACAGGTGTCTTCTCGTCTCGAATTCCGTTCTTAACCTGCTAGCTTGAGAAAAGTAACACGGACCTCTGAAGCTTTGATTTTATTATTATTATTTTGCTTATATTTTTTAAATTACCTTTATTGGGAGAAAACTTGTTTAGAGGCGAAATACCGCTGATAAAAATAAACAATCTTTGCTGCCCGCTTTGGCGCATAGATGACGTAAGCAACGTGCGACTCCACAGGAGCTCCGAGTGGGAGCCGCATCAGCAGAAATGTCTTCGTGCCCGGAGCGGAGCCGCAGCGGAGGCGGCGTGGGTCCAGTCAGGTGCCGGTTGCGGCTCGCGGTGCTCCTGCTGTCCGTGGCTTCCCTGCCGGCGGTCACGGCGCTGGTGGAGGGTCTGTACTGCGGGACTGAGGTGTGCTATGATGTCCTCGGTGTCACCAGGGAGGCCTCCAAGGCGGAGATCGCCCGGGCTTACCGGCAGCTGGCCCGCCGGTACCACCCGGACCGCTACAGGCCCGAAGAACCCGGAGAGGAGGAGTTCGCACACAACAAGTTCCTGCTCATCGCTACCGCCTACGAGACGCTGAAGGTGGGTTCTGGACCGGATTTATCTTCACATTCTCACTGAGCGGTAAACAAAAAGTTGTTTTACCTCCGAACGAGGTTAGAGTTCAGATCAGATCCCATCAGAGCTAAAAGTGGTTATTAATTAACTAATTCATAACCAGAGACCTTCTGCTGGTCCAGCAGCTTCTGTCTGACCTCATGTAGCTAGAACTGGACCTCGGTTCTGACCCGCTTTGGTCCACTCCCCAGCTGTCAGACAGGTGTCCTCTCGTCTAGCATGATTTGTTTGGTGTGTCTGCTCAGGACGAGGACTCGAGGCGGGACTACGACTACATGCTGGACCATCCGGAGGAGTACTACCAACATTACTACGCCTACTATCGCAGAAGGCTCGCTCCCAGGGTGGACGTCAGGATCGTCATCCTCGTGACCGTCTGCGCCATCTCCATCATCCAGGTAAGGCAGCTGCGTGACACCGACCAAGCTTAAGCTGCACTCGTCTCCAGTGTCACACAGACTCTTATATGAACTCATTTAAAATAAACTCCATGTGTGGGACGGAGTGGTGGGCCGTATCCCATCGATCTTGAAAAGTTTTCTTTCCTGGTGAACATCATGATGTCATTTCCTCTCCCACCAGAGAACTACACTCACGCGGGTCACGAGTAGGGCGAGACCCCTGTGCTGGTGAAGGCTCTCAGTCGTCCAGGTCATGGTGATCCAAAAGGGTTCAGATGAAGGCAGCTGGACATCTTTGGTTTCTTGAAGACGTTTCTCTTCTCAGCCGAGGAGCTTTGTCAGTTCTGACTGGAATATGGGAGAGTTGAGCTTATAAGCTGTAGCTGTCTGTTGCTGCTTAACGAGCAGAAACTACTCTGAATACCCCTCTACCCCCTGTAATCGACAAAGTTCCTCAGATGAGAAGAGAAATGTCTTCAAGAAACCAGAAGCACAGCTGCCTTTATTTGAACCCTTTTGGGAAGACTCGTGGTCGTTTTTGAGGAATTTTGGTCGCTGCAGGCCCCCGTACCTGATTACAGAGGGGATTGGCCTGTCTCTCCACCCAACAGGAAAAACAAAAGCCCATCGGTCCTGGTGAAAAGGCTCGCTGAAGCACCTACGAACCGCTAACACCTAGAAACCACAAAGCTGCAAAGTTCAGGGCAGAACATTAACCCAGAGGTTGGTCGAGCGGAGGCGTGAGAACAGATGTGGTGACCGATCAGACGCATCAGAGATGGAGCAGCGGCGCGCTAGCTGAAGCCGAATGCTACCTCTAGAAACTCGCTGGTCTTTTTTATATCCTGTCCAAAGTAGGGTTGTCACGGTGTGAAAATGTAACCTCACGGTTATTGTGACCAAAATTATCACGGTTTTCTGTATTATCGCGGCATTTTTTTAAACGTGTTATCAGGAAATGTTGTCCTCGGTTTGTGTCCTTCCAGTGAGCTTTGCAGATGTGGGAAAATGTCATCAGGCAGTAATCATTGTTAAATTCATAATTATTCTCGGAGAGAGACCAACTCTTATCTGCCCCTGGGAGCCCCGTAATGCATAGCGTCATTTCAACATGGCGGTGTCCGCGACACGGTTTATATGCAGGTAGCGGCGCTGCGGCTGCTTTATATAGCCACTCGTTGCATTCTCCCTCAACCCAAATCCTCGGATCACGCATTTTAGCTAAAACGCTAATGTTAGCTTGCCTTGCGTTGACTGTAGAGTTGTGGGTGATGGTCACGCAGATGTGCCATGAGATTTGAAGCGTTGCTGCCTTTCACAGACACTTTTTCTGCACGTGCTGCAAACAGGATAGCTGTCTTCTATCAACTGTCCCTCGGCATTCTTCAGATATCCAAAAGATGCCCGTACTTCCCACTTTGTCTTCTTTGAGGGATAATAAATGTCCTGAGAGCTGCCGTCTCCTCCTTTGGCCATTATTTCAGCTTTAGCTTCAAGAAAGTTTTGGTTGTAAACAACAAAGTGCGCATGTGCCGCCGGCAACTTCAGCAGATGATACGGTGGCTGGTAAGGGTCACCGCGCCGACACCGCAGCCACGGTAACCCACCGAGATAATATATGTTTTAAAAAGAAGACGGTTATTATTGTCAACTTTTTTACCGGGGTTTACCGCTACACTGGTTACCGTGACAACCCTAGTCCGAAGTTTTCCCCTTTCAGGAATCATATATGATTTTTCACAAATCCATAAAAGTGACTGTTGTATCATTTACTTTGATATATTGTAGGAAACGCATCTTTTTTTTTTTTTTTTTTGCTTAAACCGCCGCCTGTCCCGTAGAGCTCCATGCAATATGAACCGAGTGCCGGTCAGCGCTAACCAATAGCGTTAGACTGTCGCTTACGGACAGACGTTATTCACAGAGCGTGCTTGAGCGTACCTCGGTTGGTGCAGAGTTGGCGACCTTTCTGGAGGATAAGTCTTTAATACATGAAAACACAACATGAGCATAATAACTGTAAAACAACGCGTTTAGCTCGTCTTCTTGGCTGGAAGAGCGCGTTTGTGAACAAGACGCGTTGCTTTTGGCCGTAAATACGGAAACAACGTCTTGATGCAATATGCTTGTTAGCCACTAGATGGCGCCATCGGACAAAAGAAATAAGCCAGACCTCGACTTTAAATCTTCCTGTTTCAGAGATTTAGACTTGGGCTGATTGTTTACTTGGTTTCAGTCCTTGCTTGCTCCGGAACGTTTTATGGATGAGGTTTGGATCCAGACTTTCCCAGAGTGACCCAGGGGTTAACCATCTTCCTCCTCTCAGTACTACAGCTGGTGCAACAGCTACAATAAAGCCATCAACTACTTGGTCACCGTCCCCAAGTACCGAATCCAGGCCACAGAGATCGCCAAGCAGCAGGGCCTCCTCAACCGCACCAAGGAGAAGGGCAAGAACCGCCGCTCCAAGGAGGAGATCCGGGAGCAGGAGGAGGAGGTGATACGTGACATAATCAAAAACAAGATTGACATCAAAGGAGGCTACCAGAAGCCCAACGTGTCGGACATCCTGCTGTGTCAGATCGTGCTCTTCCCCTACTACCTGACCATCTACGTGGCGTGGTACGCCTCCTGGATCTACCGCTTCACCATCTGCAGGGAGGAGTACGGCGACCAGGAGAAGCTCTACATCATCAGGTCAGGATCTCGGCCCTCCTGCTTGTGAGAAATGTTAAACGTGGTTCTCATCAGTGCTGTGAATCCTCAGGAGGTACATGAAGATGTCCGAGTCTCAGTTCGACAGCATGGAGGAGAACGCCAAACAGTCCTTCCTGGAGAAGCGGCTCTGGATCAGGGACAACTACGAGGTACGGCTCACAGAGCAGGTCTTCATCCGTCCTTCAGGAAGCGTCTTGTTTAGGTTTCGGGGTTCTTCTAGGTGCTTGCAACTAACAAGAATTGGTTTTAGCACAATAAGTTAGACTTATGAACTTACTGTCTGTGCACGTGTGGAGCAGAAACTGAAGCTTCGACACGCGTTCCAAGCAGCAGTAAAGTATCGGATGTGTTTCCTGAGCCGACTGACCAATGGTATTCCAGAAAGAACAAGTATTAAATGGTTTCTATGGGAACCAGGGCTGTAATTCTGTAATATGGATCTTTAGCAGGTCTCCCTCAACAACGTAGATGTCAATGATAAAAATGGTTCTGTTGTTCATAAAAGCGGTAGTAGAACCCAAACACGGAGAGATCCCAGGATGTGCACATGAAAGCCAGCTGGACTGTTGAGGACCGGCCCGTCAGAATCAGAACTTACCCGATCCGTCTTTCAGGTTTACAGGAAGGAGCGAGAAGAGGAGATGAAGGTGAAAATGGCGACCGACCCAAAGATGAAGAGGTACCGCCGTTGGATGAAGAACGAGGGACCGGGCAGGCTGACGTTTGCTGACGAGTGACGGCCACACACACACACACACACACACACCTGCCTCAGTGCCAAACCCAAACGGACGGCGCTCACCGTGCTGTGAACCATGCCTGCTTGTTTTCAGCGATGAGAGATATTTTCCTAAGAACCGGGCCTCAGACTGGGACTGACTGAGTGGAATAAACGGAGGCTTCGGATATCTGAGTATTTGTTTTTATTTTTCGAAGACAGAAAATGAGTTTATATTTGAGCGTGGGTGAAAGTTTGTGGCTCTGTTGTTTACTCCTGCTGGTAGAAACACGATGAACCAAGAGTTTCCTCGACTACAAAGTGTCCTTGGAGGTCCGGCAGCTGGCGCTAAACCCGTTCCGCTGAGAGGAAACGCTTCTTTTTCAGCTCCGAATGATAAAAATCTACTAATGTCCTGACTTGTAATACTGCTCCGTGCCTCGGGGGGCGATGGCGAGTCCCTATTCTGCCTCATCTGTTGGGAAACTTACAAAAAAGAAAACTGGACTTCTAGTTTCTGGATGTTGGAGAACAAAGAGGCTATTTAATCATGCCCCGTTCAGGCTGAAGCTATGCAATCTGAGTTGATTTGTTGGGAACGTGGCAGAACGTTCGGATCTGAAACGGCCGGAAACCATCAGGTGGATTAACAACGGCAGCTTGCAGGAATTCCTGTTTAGCACCAGCAGGTGCAGAAATGGAACGCAGCCTCGGTGTCCGAGCCAGCTGGGTTCATCTTTCTGTTTGTTTTCTAGTTTAAACAACGCGTTTGTAAACAAAAAGCTATTAAAGGGATATTTCAACCACCTGGCGGTGTTCTTCTGTGGAAAACAAGCTTCTCAGTCATCCAGGTCCAGATTAAAGGGAACCGGGCTTCCGTCTGACAGACGGGACGCTCTAGAGGATGGGAATGTTTGTCTTTTGGAGAGAGGCGTAAGATAAACTAACACTTAAAATGTGGCTTTGAATCTGATCTCCAGTCAGTTTGACACGAGCGTGATCAGAACATCCTGCATGTAGGCGAGGACACCTTCAGCAGACAGGATCTAAACTCCACCAACTGCAGCATAAAGCTCGGGACCCTAAACGTTCCTGTTGGGATGGAACCTGTGGAGTTTCGTGACCCAAACCCGAACGTTGGGAACCAGAACTTCAGCAGATCTGGGTCACAGGGGTCCCAACAGCAGCTGCATGAGTTATAAACTCCATTAATATTAGATTATTTCTGCGTTTTCTGTTATTTTTATGCAAAACCGTTGATGAGCAGGGTGATTATAAAAGCTGCAGATGGAAACAAAACTGAAGTAATGCAGGGTCGGATGAACAGGCGTGGATTTTACCGGGCCTGTTATGTCCTTCAGAACTCCTCCGACCATTTATGAATTTATCAGAATTAATTGGGCTTTAATTACTGACTTTGGCTTCCTGCATAAAGTGTTTCCAAAGAAACCAGACTGGTCCATAAATATGTCAGTTTGGGGCTTTTGCTGAAACGGTGTGGACTTCAGAGCCTCTTGACCTGACTGAACTTAAATACTCACACTTGTTCTCCTGCAGGTTTCTCGTCTTTTTATATGAGTAAAAGGAAGCGGCTCAGGTTTCATCAGTCAGAAGCACAAAAAGCCAAAGTTGAGCTGCAGCAGATTTCATCAGGACTCCGTCATCATGGTTTCCTGCAGGGGCGGATTTAGGACTGAAGAAGATCCGGGGCTTACACACACACACTCACACGCGCGCGCACACACACGTGACACACACTAGTCAACATCATATATATATATATGTCTTGGACCACATAATTTTAATCTGAAGCTACATATTAAGCATATTCAGGGCAGAGTATTGTTCCTGTTAGTGTTTAGTGTGAGATGATAGTAAATATTCCCTTTCTTTCTCCAACAACTTTACCTGATAAGCTAACTTTAGGCAAACCAGCAGCACAACAAATATTTTCAAATAAGACTCACAAACCTGAGTCAACACCAGTCTCATCAAAGCTGGGGTCCTGTTGCGGTACTTTTGGTCTAAAAAACGTCCTTATGTCCATCTTCACTCATGCGTTTCAGCAGAGTGTGTAGAAGAAGCCGGCTGCTGAAGGGCTTCTTCTTCAGTGGTGGAAGCTCAGGCAGGCTGTATACAAACTACTGCCAGCTGCTCCCTCGCTGTTGGACTTTGGTACTGCATGTTACTTCCACGATTTAGATCCGGGGCTTATCATAAAACATTCGGGGCTTCAGCCCAAGTAGCCAGGCCTAACGCCGCCCCTGGTTTCCGGTTTCTGGGGAACTTCTGGAGGCTGCTGCTGTTTACTGCCTTTAGAATGACACTGCTTTACTTATTTGTACATTTACTGCAGGGCTATTCAAGTTCAGGCCTCGAGGGCCGGTATCCAGCACGTTTTAGTGGTTTCTCTTGTCCAACACACTTGATTCAGTGGTTGAGTCACCTGTGCAGCAGCTCATCAGGCTCTGCAGAAGCCCGTTAATCACCTGCTGATTGAAATCAGGTGTGTTGATGCAGTTAAAACTAAAACGTGCTGGATGCCGGCCCTCGAGGCACGGAATTGAATAGCCCTGAGCCCCTGGTTTAGTGTTCTCTGGTGTGGCAGCAAAGTGAAAACTATTCATCGCAAAGTTCTGATCAGTGTCCTGGTTCAGCACCATTCCAGTTCAAAGGTTCTTCATCCAGATGTTCAATCATGGAGGAACTCGTCACTTTTACATTGTGGTGCAGTTTCTGTGAAATAAAGTGGAAAGGTTTTTTTTTTAATTATTATTTTAGGGAAGGTGCAACTTCCTGAGACCTGAGCTGTTGCTTGGTGACTAAAGAACATTGTTGCAACGGAGCTAAGTACCAGCCCTGTATCTGGAGGGTTGCAGGTTCGAGACCCATCGGTTGCAGTCATTGTGTCGTTGGCCAGACACCACCGCCTTGCCTGTTGGTGGTGGTTGAAGGGACCGGTGGCGCCTCAGGGCAGCTGTGGCTCAGATGTAGCTCATCACCATTGTGGGTGGATAAACGGCCAGTTACCACTGGTTTTGTTGGTAAAACCGTCAAGAGAACGCCTTGGGATTCCCCCAGAGGAGCTGGCCCAAGTGGCTGGGGGGCTGATGCCCCCACAACTCGACCCCCGATAAGCGGCCGAAGATGGACGTTAGTAAAAAACTAAGTTGGTAGTTTTCCTAAATTAATAAAGGTTTGAATGGAAGATTTAATATTTTATAGGAAAAGGCTGATGGGACCTGGAGGATTTCAGGCCCGATGAGGAACAAATTAATGAACTTTTCTCTTGATAGTCTCAGAATTGAAGGTTTTTAAGAAAATCCAATGAAGGACTGACTACGGCGAGGAGGCTAACTCGGTGGGCAAGCTGGAGGAGTACGACAGGAGCAAGGTGACTTCCGGGACAGTGAGGGAGGCACAGTTGGTCTCGACACCTGTCCAGGTCCCACCTTAGCAGAGCAAATAAAGTATTTCCAACTGGTCCTGCTCCACCGCCTCTTCCCAGCCAGAGTGGTGACATCATCTGGTATCGGTGATACTTCTGCTTATTTACAAAAACCTAAGAATAATTCACAGGATGAGTCAATCTTTTGACAAATTCAAGTTTTGTCAAGTCACGTATCTCTTTATCATCAGTGTGGGTTTAAGACTGATGTGGACAAAGGAATAAAGACCAAACACAACAGGTCAGTTTGTCCATTAACAATAAAAATGATCAACATACATATTTAACATACAAAAACAAGCAATACAAGGCAGAAGGACGATGAAGGCCCACTTCGTTCCCACATCAACCACATTAATCTGGTCTCACCACCGTTAGCTAAACCAAGAAGCATCCTGTTAATCTGGATTTTCTGCTGTTTCATTAAAAAACAGATGCACAACATCAGAGACCAGAAAATCTCTGGAAATATTTTCTTTTCTTTTTTTTTTAACATATAAAAGAACAGAATTTACCCCAGAAACCAACTACACCACAGGAAGTACACACACTGAAGGTGTTACACACAACCGTTTTCTGTCCGATAAAATCAATCCGATGTTTTGGAAGAACTGTGGTGATAACTTCGTGAACCTAAACGATAGCTAGCTAGCACAACAGTACTAGTTGGTTAAGTTTGATCAATCAATAAAACAAACGTAAGGTGCGTCTGATCAGCTAGATTCCGTTCCAGGTGTTTGTGACTGTTACGCAATGGCCCAGCAGAGTTAGCATTTAGCTCGCTAGCTAGCTATCTGCTTTCATAAAAACGTTTAATTTATAGTTCAAGCAGAATACATTTTTTAAGTTATTCATCACCAGTATTACAGAATTAACAGCAGACAATCCCAAAAAGGATTATTGCATGTTTTAGTGGAAACTAAACAGTTTTTTATTTAAAGTTGCTAATGTAGTCAGCCTTTGGATGAATGGTTTCTTATGCTGCATCGTCTATAATCTGTGATGTCAACCATAATTCTGTCCTTTGCTTTTTAGCTCTAAATTATAATTTTCTGTGTGTTTAATTTGTGTTCTGTTTATTGTCGTGCCATTTCATGCTAATTGTAAAGCACGTAAAAGGTGCCTTTATTTACTCATTTAGATGCTTATTTTGTTTTTATGAAATAAAATAAATCCTGCAAAGCTAACTGAACTGTAACAATTCTCTAGTTTACACAATTTAGTCAAAAAAGGGAAAATTTAAATGTGTTCATATGTTTTACGAATTTTTACGAATAAGTTTATTTTAGTCTTTCGGATTTTGTTTTCCTGATTAGATCCATTTTAATGCAGTAATCTTCCAGCAATCACTAGTAAATATAAGGAGTTTAATGTTATAGTTTGTATTTTACAACTATTGACTGTAAGAAAATAAAGACACTTTATCTGAATGATTAAAATTCAAACAGGGATTTTCTTTAGCAAACAGAACAAACAGGAATAAATAAACGATTTAGCTTTTTAACACGTTCCCATCAGTACAGAACAGGGGTTGCTGGAAAACCTTCAGTCTGGAATAAATCCACAGAAAATATATAAAAACAGAAGTTCAGACCTTCACTGGCTGCTAAACTCTTCATAGACACCATTGAGTCTTACTGAGACAGACCTTATCTGGATGTGAAAACCGGAGTGTGATTACAAACGGGGATTAGCTCATTTCAGATCTGATTCAAAAGTAAATGTGAACCAAAAACCGGTCTCCGGCGTTCTTTCTGTTGCCCTCGATGTGAAAACTTGACTTTCCCTCGTCTTTTCCAGAAGTCCTAAAAGACCAGATTATGTTTTTCCTTCCAGTCCCGGTGGGATGCAAGACGTTTTTTCCTGCTCTTCAATGCGTGTTTTATTTGTTCAAATCCAAGAAATCACAGATTTTCAGTCTGCTCACCAAAGTCTCAAAGGCTCCAGGCTCACAAGTAGGGATGTGTATTCTTTCCATCGCGCCTCAGTTGATTTTTTTTATTTTTAATGACGGCACGTTTAACTTTAAAGGCTTTAGTGAAACCACATGAAAAAGCAGTCCAATCATCTTTAACATCAAACAACTTCACAAACAGGAGGAGAATCAACCGTTTGGCAATGAGAAAAGCAAAAAATACAAAAAGCCACGTTTTAATTCACAGTTTTTACCTAAGACCAGAAGAGTTGTGTTGCTTTGTGTGAAAGCTGAAACTTGTGACACCGCCTGTGTGAGAAGTACGTCATGAGATGGGAAAATCCTTCTGGTCTGCACAACAACCGGAACACGTTTAAAACGTTCCAATAAAAGCCCCGAATTTTACATTTTTCCTCTTTCTGAGACGCGGCCGGACCGCCAACCTCCGATTCATTTCCCTATGATGTTATGGGATTAAACTGTGATTTTACCGTTTTAATCTGTTGCACAAGGGCCCAGCTTTACTAGTTTAAGTAATCATGTAAGCTACAGTTTCGGATTCAAGCCAATCAGTTTTATACTTGGAAAATCAAACTGAGCAAGTTTAAGAAAAGCCAATTTGTCTTTTATCAAACTGAAAAAAACCGAGTTATTTTCTAACAATACGTATGTTAATAGATCATGAAGTTGTTCTTGTATTATACAATAATACTGATTTTTCTCTTATTTCCACCATTTTCTACCCATTTTTTAATTGAGTCTGTTTGGCAGAAATGGGCGTCCGTGGAGGCAGAATACCCATTCGGGTGAGGAGGAGGTCATCAACACTGTCGTAAAGAGTCCGAACAGCACTCCTTCATCATCCCGATTGTTCCAGACTGAGAATCCTCCATCCAATCTGAGATCCGGCTGCGTCCGTCAACATCCGGGCTACATTTCTTCACTGGGATTCGTTTTGCTGTACTCAGGCTCAGGTTGGGAAAAAAGGCCAAAAAGAAAAGCTGGTTAACATAAAAGGGTTTTATCCTGGTTACTTAGTTTGGTTAGATCAGATTTTAAAACCTCTTTTATGTCTGTCAGAAATACTTGGTTTAATGCTCTAAAACAACTTTTAGAGGGTTTTGCTTCATCCGGGAACGTTTTAAACAAAAACAAAAAAAAAAATCTGGATTAAAAGGAACTAAAATAATATATTTTAGTTTAAGAGTTTGAATAAGACCGTCAAAAATCCTGGGAGGACAGAAGAGAAACAAAAGAGTGGACGTGCCTGTCCTCGCCGTCGCCGCTCTTTCAGTCTTTGATGGTCTGAGGGACAACAGCAGGGCTAAATGCTTCAGATGCGTCAACATGAGCTGCATTTTGTTTTCCATCACATGGGGGGTGGCGGGATCGGGACATCTGTAGTGTCTTTACGAAGTTTTCACCAGGTCATACACATAAATGAGGAAGTCGTCGTCGAACTTGATGAAGTAGACGGACGGTTTGGCCTCCACCTGGTGGATGACCATGCCTGTTCGTTTGCCGCCGTCCTCTTTGGCGTACTCCACCTGTTTCCCCACCAGGCTGTCCACCACCTCCCCGGGCTCGCGCTCCGCCGGGACGCTGTCATCTACAGACGGCAACAAGAACCATCAGGACAAACAGAGCCACAGACCCGACGGCTTTAATCAACATCACTCACTGGAGTCGGGCATGATGCGAAGGTCTCCTTCTTTGTAGTCGTCCAACAGCTGGTACATGTACAGAACCGGGTCCTTCTCATAGGTGATGTAGAACCAGGTGGTCATGATTGGAGCTCGGGCCAGAACCATGCCTCTCCACTCCTCCTTTGGACCCTCCTCCGTCTCAAACATGTGCTCCACAGCTTTACCGATCATGGAGTCAGCGAGGCTGACGTCTGTCAGGCGTGATTTAGCTGCAAAGATTTAATGACAAATAAAAAACAGTCCCGAGTCTTTTTTTCGGGATGTTCTGACGGTCCGAAAGGTTCAGAAGTCCCAGCCAAGACAAAGTCAACAGGGAATAAAACTAAATAGCGGGTAATAGAAAAGGTCCGCTCTCTTTCAAAGACTTCAGTCTTTTTGCTTTACGGCCTTAGATGGAAACATAAAAAAATAAATATTTTACCAGCTTGACTTTCACAACACAACCTATAACATCCAACAGAAAATGATCAAGTTACAGTTAAAGAAGAATAAAAAAAAATACTGAGAGTGATAAAGGATCTCACCCCCACCCCCCTCCTAGAGCAAGAAGCCACCATTTCCTTAGCAGACCATGGGTACCGGGGGTGTTTCTCAATGCCAAGAAACCTCGCCTTGATGTCTTGGCCCCGCCCCGGTTGCCTAGGAGATACGTCATCGGGAGCCGCCAAGACGTGTTCCAATGTTCATGTTCTACCGAGGCGTGTGTTCTCCGTTTATTTGCCGTTTAGCTAGCTGAGCGAGGATACACGGGAGGTGTCTTGTAGCCTAGACTTGGTCAAAAATTACCCAGAATACACCGCGGTATTTTCAAAAGGACGGCGGATCAGAAGCCGGCAGCTACTTCGGGGACAATTTTCAAGTTTAAAAGTAAGTCAGCTAATTTAAAATGTTATTTTTGGACCGAAATTGCGATTTCAAACAGCACGATCACGTGACCGTCAAAGCTGCGGTTTTAGCGGTTTTGACTGATCCAGGATCAGTTGTGTAACTTTTTTTTTACATCCGGGGTTTCCCCCCCGTGTTATGGCGGCGGCAAAAGCCAGCGCGGGGGAGGGGGTGGGGGTGGGGGTGTACCATCCAGAGCCGAGCCCAACTCCACAGCTGCCAGAGCTGCATGTTCAGGTTATTTCCCTGTTTTATGTTCCCACACACAGCGCTGCTAAAGCCAAAAGAAATGCACCGTAGATGAGCCCGGGACAGAGAGAGAGAACGTAGTTGAGTAGGGGAGAGAGAGACTCCTCCCACATCAGCAGGTTCAGGCTGGTTTCTAGAGCGTGGTTCATGCTTCATCAGCGTGAGAGCGGAGTCGCGCGCTTTAGTTGACTTGAAAGCTAAACTTGTCTTTTAAAAATGGTTTGAATGTTTCTGACGGCACACGTTAGCTCAGACAAGCTAAGGTGTCCGAATGCGTGCGTCTCTCTCACGGAGCTGACGTCAGTGAGGAAGAAGTATCAGACGGCTTCAGCCTGAAGCCGTAACGCAGGAAAACTGTGCTTTTGTTATTTAATACAGTTAAAAGCTGTTTCTACCTACAGATCTCCTCCATGCAGGTTTGGAGTAGAACATGTGTTCATAAAGCTCCTCTAGATAAAAATCACAAGTTGCTTCACAAACACATAAAAAAAGATAATAATGGGAGAAAAGATTAGTAGATTTAACAGTTTTTATTGTATGATTAAATAGTAAATATTAACGTGAATGATTTGTTGTACTAGATTATAATCTAGACCATCTTTTCACTTCATCTACAGGATGGCTTGGCAGGCTAGCGTTGGACCTTTGTTTGCAGAAAATCGTGAATTGAACCGAAATCGCAATTTCTACTAGAAAAATTGCGATTCAATATTTTCCTAAAACCATTCAGCCCTAGTGCTTGTCCATGTAAGGCCCTATGGACCAGAACCAGGATCTTGAAATGAACCCTGAAGTTGACTGGCAGCCAGTGAAGCTGGAGGAGAAGCGGGGTGATGTGGGTGTGTTTGGAGGACTTGGTCAGAAGCCGAGCACAGGCGTTCTGAACCACCTGTAGACGGTTCAGGAGGTTCTGCTCAGACACGTGAAAAGAGAGTTACAGTAGTCTAAGCGTGAGGAGATGAAAGTGTGGAGAACTGTCTCAAGTTCAGAGCGGGACAGAATGGGACTCAGCTTAGCAACGTTCCTGAGATGGAAGAAGGAAGAGCCAACAAGAGAACTGACATGAGAATCCAGGGTGAGAGCTGGGTCAAAGGTCACGACAAGATTCCTGAGAGAAGGTTTGGTGTGAGAAGCAAGCTGACCAAGAGAGTCTCTGACTTTGGGAACCAGCTTGTCTGGGGCACAGATGAGGATCTCAGTCTTATCTTCATTCAGCTGAAGAAAGCTCCCACCATCCAGGTTTTGATAGAGTCTAAGCAGGTGTGTAACAGCTGCAGCTTAGACATCTCATGGGAAAGAAAATACAGAAACGTTTGCGTGTAAATTCTTCCAAAAATTAGATGCACGGCTTCTATGTCAATGTAACATCACACAATAAAATATCACGATATATACGGAAAACAAAACACTTCTCTACATTTAGGCTGGTTTGAGCTTTGCCAGAACGCACCTTGAAAATTCTGATGCCAAATGGAAAAAGTTCTGATGGTCAGATGAGACCAAAACGGAACTATTGTGCCTCAGCACCAAACGGTACACCAATCCTTCACAACTCACCATCCCCACAGTAAAGCATGGAGGTGGCAGCATCATGTGGTGGGGACCGGGGCTCTCGTTAGGGTAGAAAGAAGCATTGATGGAGAGAAAACCTGCTACCCTCTGCTAGAAGATTCACCTTTCACCATGACAGCAACCTGAAGCTAATCTGACCACACATCCTCGTGTCCCAGTCACAGCCCAGACCTAAATCCCACTGATTATTTGTGAAGATTAGAAAACTGTAGCCCACCAAGCCTACCATCCAATCTGACCCAACCTGAACGGTTCTGTAAAGAAGAGTGGGCGAATGTCGTTTAACATAGATGAGCAACGCTGATAGAGAGGCATCCCAACAGACTCATGGTTGTTATTAAAGCATCTCGGTATTTGTTGTTGTTATTCTTAAACGTCTCTCTGACCTGTAACTGTGATATTTTTCTGTTAGATGTTATAGCTTACCATGGATAAATATGGCTGGTCAAAGGTGTTTGTTTACTTTATTGATATCTGTTTATAAATAAAAACTTGAAAACTAAAAACAGCAGAAATCACAAGAAAAATGTACAAAATTACATAAAAACACACACGTACAAGTAAAGTACAGCAAAAGGTATAACGTCACTTTAACTTAAAGGGACTTTACGGAGTTTTGAATTTTTATGCTCACGATTGCCCCCTCAGGCCAAAAGCGTAACGGCAGCTTCAATAGTAGGCTCGTGCACGAGGCGCGCATGCTGTACGTGCACACTCCTTAACGAAATAACAGCTGAGACAGTCCCGTGTGTGTGTGTGGGGGGGGGGGGGGGGGGGGGGGCATTCCAGCTTCCTGTCTTCACCCGGAGGGATCTCAGACTAGACGGGTCCTATCGGAGCGGTCTACGGGTTCCTGATATCAGAGGTTCACTCCACCGGCAGTGTCCATCTCGACCCCCCGGATCAAACGAGAACCTCCACACAAAGGGTGTGTAGACTTGGCACAGATTGCGTCGGATGGTTTTTAAACAATTCTCTAGTTTATAACCAAACGACAAATTATTTTACAGCTCAGACTTCACGAATTCTCTCAGATGCAAAGAATGATTTCACTAAAACGTCTAGCTTCCATTACAACATTTCACATTAAATCACCTCACATCCACTGCATCACATCTCATTGTTCATATCTGTCATGTATAATTAGTTTAGGAAAAAGAATTAAATCCATTTTATAAACCACAAACTGACTCTGTCTGAATTAATACGAAGTGTGTTTATGATCCCTGAAGAAGCAACGAACCCTAGAATCTTCTGATTAAACATTCAAAGATCAATCAAGTTGATATTTCATATTTGTATGGAATCATCACATCTTATTGGTCATAATTAATTTGTAGTGTTCCACTACATTAATGTGACATCTTTCTATCTCTAAAGCTTCCTTAAAGAGACTTTACGGACTTTTGAATTTTTAAACTTGTGATCGCCCCCTCAGGCCAAAAACATAACGGCAGCTTCAATAGTAGGCTCGTGCACGAGGCGTGCATGCTGTACGTGCACACTCCTTAACAAAAATAACAGCTGAGACAGTCCCGTGTGTGTGTATGATTGGCCCGGAGGACAGAGGACAGGAGAACGCGCAGCTAATTGATGAAATAATGTGGTTCTGTACCTTTCTCTTCAGCACAGCCGACAAAGGTTTATGATGGGTCAGTCCTCCTGCATGCTCAGATCATTCCCTTCCCTTGCTTGAAAAATTGTTCCAAAATGAAAGTTGAACCCACATCTTTTTTTTCTGTGAATTCAAAGCCGTTCGGCGAGTCTCAAATAAAAATTTGGGCATCTTACTGTAAAAAAATATACCATTAATGTAAAAAAGAAACTCTAAATAAACTATGTTTGCATCCAGAATCAAACCCAGATCCTCTGCAAGAGAGTCCAACGTCTTACTAGGCGAGCTAAAGCGCCATTAACATCCTTTGTATCTGTAACATTTATATCCTTGATGACAGCTGAAACAACGTTCAAAGAACGGTTCGGAGGGCTATGCCTGAGCGTGAACCCGCATGAAGCAGCCTGCTCGACCCGAGCATCTCTCTTTTTCTGTGATTTTACAGAAAAACAGGCAATCACAGTAAAAATGCCAGGGCTCATTCTACAGGACCAGGGCATTGCAGGAGAATGTATGAAGAAGACATTTATTATTTCTATACATGTTTTGGCCGTCACACTTACATAATGTCCCTTTAAGCAAAAATCATTTCAACTAAAAAGAGAAAACTTGACACCAGCGATGTTAGCAGTTCATAAAGGTTTTGGAAGGTCGAGATGATTATTAAATGTTTTATTTAAATAAAATAATAGTAAATAAAATTAATCTATGTTTGTTGGAGTTCTAGACGTATTCTAACCTTTCAGTATAACTTTTTACAGATTTAATACCATTGGAAATTATTTCTAAAACATTTACTCTTCATAAAAACTTTTTTTTACCAAATTTAAATTTCTTCGTTTCTTCCTTGAACCGTCACCTTATCGTGGTGGAGGAGTTTGAGTGCCCTAATGATCCTAGGAGCTATGTTGTCTGGGGCACTTAGTGCCCCTGGTAGGGTCTCCCATGACAAATTGGTCTTAGGTGAAGGGTGAGACAAAGAACGGTTCGAAGGATCTTTCATGGCGGTTAAAACGAAGAGTCGGAGTACCCGGCCCGGAGGGTTACCGGGGTCCCACCCTGGAGCCAGGCCTGGGGTTGGGGCCCGTGAGCGAGCGCCTGGTGGCCGGGCTTTCGCCCATGGGGCCCGGCCGGGCCCAGCCCGAACCGGATACATGGGCTCGTCCAACTGTGGACCCACCACCCGCATAAGGAACATGAAGGGTCCGGTGCAATGCGAATCGGGTGGCAGACCAAGGCGGGAGCCTTGGCGGTCCAATCCCCGGACAAGAAAACTAGTTTTTGGGACATGGAACGTCACCTCGCTGGCGGGGAAGGAGCCGGAGCTTGTGGCAGAGGTTGAGCGGTACCGGCTAGATATAGTCGGACTCACCTCGACACATTGCATTGGCTCTGGAACCCGAGACCTGGAGAGGGGTTGGACACTCTACTTTGCTGGAGTTGCTCCGGGTGAGAGGCGGAGGGCTGGGGTTGGCTTTTTGTTAGCCCCGAGACTCTCTGCCTGTGTGTTGGGGTTTACCCCGGGGGACAAGAGGGTAGCTTCCTTGCGCCTTCGGGTCGGGGAACGGGTCCTGACTGTTGTTTGTGCTTATGGGCCAAATATCAGTTCAGAGTACCCACCCTTTTTGGAGTCCCTGGGACGAGTGCTAGATAGTGCTCCATCAGGGGACTCCATTGTCCTGCTGGGGGACTTCAATGCTCACGTGGGCAATGACAGCTTGACCTGGAGGGGTGTGATTGGGAGGAACGGCCCACCTAATCTGAACTCGAGCGGTGTTTTGTTAATGGACTTCAGTGCAAGCCGCAGTTTGGCCATAACAAACACCATGTTCGAACATAAGGATGCCCACCGGTACACTTGGTACCAGGGCAGCCTAGGTCACAGGTCGATGATAGATTTTGTAGTCGTATCATCTGACCTGCGGCCGTATGTTTTGGACACCCGAGTGAAGAGAGGGGCGGAGCTGTCAACTGATCACCACCTGGTGGTGAGTTGGATCAGATGGCAAGGGAACATGCCGCGTAGACCTGGCAGACCCAAACGCATAGTGAGGGTCTGCTGGGGACGCCTGGCAGAAGAACCTGTCAAGACGGTCTTCAACTCCCACCTCCGCCAGAGCTTTGACCACGTCCCGAGAGCAGTGGGGGACATTGAGTCCGAGTGGGCCTTGTTCCACTCTGCGATTGTCGAGGCGGCTGTTGCTAGCTGTGGTCGTAAGGTGGCCGGTGCCAGTCGTGGTGGCAACCCCCGTACCCGCTGGTGGACACCAGAGGTTCGGGGAGCCGTCAGGCTGAAGAAGGAGGCCTACAGGGCGTGGCTGGTCTGTGGGTCTCCGGAGGCAGCAGACAGGTACCGGATAGCCAAGCGGGGTGCAGCAGTGGCAGTTGCCGAGGCAAAATCTCGGGCGTGGGAGGAGTTTGGTGAGGCCATGGAGAAAGACTATCGATCGGCTCCAAAGAGGTTCTGGCAAACTGTCCGGCGCCTCAGGAGAGGAAGGCAGCAACTCGCTCACACTGTTTACAGTGGGGATGGGGAGCTGCTGACGTCAACTGAGGCTATAGTCGGACGGTGGAAGGAATACTTTGAGGAGCTCCTCAATCCCACCAATGCGCATTCCGAGGAGGAACCAGAGCTGGGAGGCCTGGGGATGGACTGTCCGATCTCGGGGGCAGAAGTTGCTGAGGTAGTCAAACAACTACACAGCGGCGGAGCCCCGGGGGTGGATGAGGTTCGTCCTGGGTATCTCAAGGCTATGGATGTTGTAGGGCTGTCATGGTTGACACGTCTCTACAACATTGCGTGGTCATCGGGGGCAGTTCCTAGGGAGTGGCAGACCGGGGTGGTGGTCCCCATCTTTAAGAAGGGTGACCTGAAGGTGTGTTCCAACTATAGGGGGATCACACTCCTCAGCCTCCCTGGAAAGGTCTACGCCAAGGTACTGGAGAGGAGGGTCCGATCGATAGTTGAATCTCAGATAGAGGAGGAGCAATGTGGTTTTCGTCCTGGCCGTGGAACTGTGGACCAGCTCTATACCCTTGCAAGGGTGATGGAGGGGGCATGGGAGTTTGCCCACCCAATCCACATGTGCTTTGTGGATTTGGAGAAGGCTTATGACCGTGTCCCCAGGGGCACCCTGTGGGGGACGCTCCAGGAGTATGGGGTGGGTGGCTTTCTGTTAAGGGCCATTCAGTCCCTTTACCAGAGGAGCGTGAGTTTGGTCCGCATAGCCGGTATTAAGTCGGACCTGTTCCCAGTGAGGGTTGGACTCCGCCAGGGCTGCCCTTTGTCACCGGTTCTGTTCATCACTTTTATGGACAGAATTTCTAGACGCAGCCGTGGTGTGGAGTGTGTCGAGTTTGGTGGCAGGAGAATCTCGTCTCTGCTTTTTGCGGATGATGTGGTCCTCCTAGCTTCATCCAGCTCTGACCTTCAGCTCTTGCTGGGTAGGTTCGCGGCCGAATGTGAAGCGGCTGGGATGAGGATCAGCACCTCCAAATCTGAGACCATGGTTCTCGACCGGAAAAGGGTGGCTTGCCACCTCCGGGTCGGGGGAGAGGTCCTACCTCAAGTGGAGGAGTTTAAGTATCTCGGGGTCTTGTTCACGAGTGAGGGTAGGAGGGATCGGGAGATCGACAGGCGGATTGGTTCGGCGTCTGCAGTGATGCGGACGCTGAGCCGATCTGTCGTGGGGAAGAGGGAGCTGAGCCAGAAAGCCAGGCTCTCGATTTACCGGTCGATCTACGTCCCAATCCTCACCTATGGTCATGAGCTTTGGGTAATGACCGAAAGAACGAGATCGCGGATACAAGCGGCCGAAATGAGTTTCCTCCGTAGGGTGGCCGGGCTCAGCCTTAGAGATAGGGTGAGGAGCTTGGACATTCGGGAGGGACTCGGAGTAGAACCGCTGCTCCTCCGGATCGAAAGGAGCCAGTTGAGGTGGTTTGGGCATCTGGTCAGGATGCCTCCTGGACGCCTCCCCGGGGAGGTGTTTCGGGCATGTCCTGCCAGCAGAAGGCCCCCGGGTCGACCCAGGACACGTTGGAGAGGTTACATCTCCAATCTAGTCCGGGAACGCCTTGGGGTCCTGCCGGAGGAGCTGGTGGACAAGGCCGGGGAGAGGACGGCCTGGAGCTCCCTAATTGGGATGCTGCCCCCGCGACCCGGACCCGGATAAGCGGAGGAAGACGAAGACGAAGATGAAGACAACATTTAAGCAACTTTTTGTCTCAGCTGAGAAAAATGCTAAAGGATCGTTTTAATAAATAATAATTGTGTTTTGACCATAAAAGGTGTTAAAATCACCTGAGAATCTTTAGATAAACCATCTGATGATGACAGGCACACCAGCCTACTGATCTCAGGTCAGTCTTACCGAGTCTGTCGGGCAGAACCTCCAGACCCTGAACCCTCTCGTCTTTATGGAGCTCCAGACCGTAAACGCAGTCAAATCCATCGTACTTGATCAGATAGAGAGACGGGTTCACGGGAACCTGGAGGAACACAAATAAATACAGAAAATGAGTCAAACTATAGAAATAAGAAGAAGAATGCTCAAAGAGAATCACACCCAATCAGACATCAACTTCATGGACCAGACTACAGATTAGATGTTGTAGAAGCAGCATGGAGTTTCAGGTAATCTCTAACCCACTCAGCTCCACAACCATTAATGAATTAATTAATTAATCTGTGGTTTTCCTGAACAGGATTTTAAATGATCAAATAACTGATACTGAAGTCATTTTTTACATGAAGACGTTCTTAAAAAAACGTTTAAAAACCTGATAAATTCAGTAAATTGATATTTCATGGTCCAAGGACATATTCTCGTGCACGAGAGCGTGCACGGTTCTACTGAGAAAGGAAGGTCTGAGATCTAGCTGATGGATGGATGATCCACAGCTGCATCCCTAAAATCAGCTGTTGTTTCTGTTAATCTGCCCATTTTCTTCCTGATGCTTTCAAGGTTACATTTTTATTACCGTAATTTCCAGACTATAGAGCGCACCTCAATATAAGCTGCACCAACGAAAAAAAAAAGGTTTTCTACACACACGCCGCACTCGAATACAAGCCGTGGCGCAGCAGCCACATGCGGGTCTCCGGCGCACAGCGCCTACACGGCCATAACGTAAGATAATTAGACAGAAAGACGCTACACGGAGGTTTTTCGTTGTTTTAATTCAACAAAATGAATTTTAAACATGGGTGAACGTGCATGCAAGTTTATAAAAGAAAACAGCACTGATAGCATTCATATTTCTGGATGGTTATAAAATAAAAACAGAACTGACACATTATTACCGGTCATTTGCATGTTTAGAAGAAAAGAACAGCGCTGACACAGCATTAATAAGCCCTGGATGACTAGAAAATAAAAACTGCACACAAAGCATGCCTGGTTAGTAAATAAAACACACTTGCCTACCAGAAGAAGTCATTCGCTCTCAACTTCCTCTTGCGCACTAAAGCCATTAAAGTCCTCTTCTTCAGTGTCGGAGTTGAACAGCCTCTGAAGAGCTTCGTCACGTACCTTTTCTGCTGCGATGCCAGCGTCGCTGTCCGTGTTGCTGTCATCATCCCCGGGTGAAGCTGGCTTGAGTGAGTTCTTCCCGCTGCCGTCTCCAGCGCCGAACCATGGATTCATTCATGCCAAGCGTACGTGCGGCAGCGCTGTTTCCCTCCTTTACTGCCAGATCGATGGCCTTCAACTTAAATGCGGCATCATATGAACTCATACGTGTAGTTTCCATGATGAGGGGGTATGGATTTGAAAAACATTCTTCGTCGTGCCGGCTGCTTGCATGTGCCAAATTAAAATGAGCACTTTCTTCGATTTCCACTTTTGACTTCCACCTGTTTCACTTTCTGCTACAGCGCCTCCTATTGGCAGGTGGAGGAAAATCTTCAGTAAAGCCACTCCTCATTGTAAGCCGCACGGTTCTAAGTGTGGGGAAAAAAGTAGCGACTTATAGTCCGGAAAATACGGTAAATGTTCTTTCTCTGTGTTTTGGTACATCTGTGACGTGGAGGACATCCCCACCAGGTGGCGCCACGAGGGAATTACAGTAAAGCATTGGAATAATGTTGATGGAGACGATTTTTATAAATGAGGAAAAGCATCTGCACTAGCATACACAAGGCCCCAGGTTATTTCTATCTGTATTACAAGGCATTATGGGTAGTGATGTCAGCCAGCTGGGTCTGATCTAAAAGGTCTGAACACAACACTGAAACAACAGCTAGCCAAATATTAGATCATTTACATGTTTTTAGATGAGTGATTCAGGTAGGAGCCTCCTATTGGATAATTACTGCAACAACTTATTTAACCCAACTGGTGCAACAAGCTGCTTCTCATTACTTAAACAACCAGGTGGAAAGACACATCTGGTGGTGGAAAAGATGTTAGTCTGTGTGAGAAGGGTCAGATCATCGGCATCAAGCAGAGAAAACATCAAGGAGATGCAGAAACAACTAAAACTGGGTTCAGAACTGTCCAACGCGTTATTCAAACTGGTCTGATTGGTCCAGATGGACCCTATTCCAGAGTGATGGGTGCATCAGGGTAAGAAGAGAGGCAGATGAAGTGATGCACCCATCATGCCCAGTGTCTACTGTACACGCCTGTGGAGGCAGTGCTGTGATCTGGGCTTGCTGCAGGTGGTCAAGTTTAGGTTCAGCAACAGGATGTGCTCCAAGAATGTCAGCTGACTACCTGAATGACCAGGTTATTCCAATGGGTTCTCCACCCTAGATGTCCCTCCCATCTCTGAATGTACGTGATGAGCGCACGGATGCTGCGGCTCTCTCTGAAGCAAGGGGGTTTCCTAGCCACCCCCACTTCTCAGAGAACTGTCAGAGGTTTGTGATGCCCTAATGTGTTGTGGTGTTTTTTTTTGCATATCAAAGCCCCCCCCCCCCCCCCCCCCCCCCGTCGAGGGTAAAGCCTGGTTCATGCTTCTCCGTCAGCTCCGCAAGGGAGAGACACGCACGGATTGACAGAAGCGTTTTGCTCTCATGCTTCTCCGTCTCCTGGAGAGTGTTGCAAAGCAATTCCCCTCCAGGACAGCAGAGGGCGTAGCGCTGTTCTGTGGTATCCTGTTGTGTATCGGTCCAAGATAGTATGTTTGTATTGTGTTTTTTGTAAATAAGAGACTTTTTAATACAGACACATTTGTCTCTCATCCTCCTCCACCTCTTCATGCGCTCGCCACCTCTAAACCCACATTTCCTGTCATTTCCGTCCACAAATAAAACGCTTGCTGCGCAACTTTTCACTCCTCCAGTCACGGGGGGATTAAATGTTCATATTTTAGAGTTTTTTCGCGAGGTATTCTTCAAGCTGCTCCGTGTCTGCCGCTAGTTATCCTTGGCTCTCTTTATGTTTTTGAGGGAGCAAAGGCGGCGGTGTAGACGACAGCGGCGTCCTGACCAATCACAAGCTTGCGTTGTCCGTCTCGACTGACAGATGTTTAGAAAAGAGAGCTCGACTCCGTACGTCCTTGCGGAGCTCTCCGGCAAGCCCGCAAGGACGTTGCGTGTCTCCGCGCTGACGCAGACGGAGAAGCATGAATCAGGCGTAACTCTGGAATGCCCCACCCCCACCTTAACCCTCTTCTATCTAACTGAAAACCAGCGCCTTGATGGCTGCTCTTGTGGTCTGCCCGTTTGTTTAACCTTGGTCAGACTGTGCTGCCGAGACACATTTCTACGCTTCAGGACACGAAGGCCATGACAATAAAGTCGATTCTGATTCTACAGTTACGACTGACTCGAGCTACATCGTCTTCTCCCTCTGTGTACAAGTGCGTATACAGCAGAGTAGACAATAACGTTTACTTTGAATTGGACTAGAAGGATCTCATCAGGATGCTTTACAACCCAGCAGTGATGGATCACCTGGTCCAGAACGGTTCCTTTCCACACCACGTGTCCTCCTCCTTCCTTCCAGATGTGTTGGATCCTGCAGCCAACGATGTTACGTCGAGGCTGCGACAGAACTTTGGTGGTCGGGCCCAGACTGCTCTTGTGCTTTCTGCAGACACAAACAACAGCCGCCTGAAAGAAGAACTTCATCTTTTTCTCTAGGTGTCTTCATTCACGTCCTCCACCCTCACCAACTAACTTCATCCAGAAATCCTATTTTTGGTCTTCTTCTCAGTCTCCTGCCTGGTGGCTCTGTCTCAGCATCCTTCCACCTATGTAATCATTGTCTCTACTCTGGACATGTCCCAACCACCTCAGTCTGGCCTCTCTGACTTTATCTACAAAATATCTAACATGGAACTTCACCCTGTTTCTAAAATCCTTTTACGGTTCTTCCAAACATGAAATAAATCCAATGTTGGAATCATCTACTCACTTGTGTGGATTCTTTTTCTTCATCATATTTACAGAAACACCTGCATGCCCTGAGAAGAAAAACAAACAACATGGTTGGTAAACATCAAGCAAACAGCAGATAGAACAATGGGTGGTTGGGATCTGACTATCCTGTTCCAACCACTCAGAGCTGGTGTTACCGCTGCACCAACACTGGGGGCGGGGCTACGGAGACCAATCATACCAAACGGGTTCAAGAGTTTACACTTTGCACAAGCAAAAACCTGAAAAAGTGACAGCTCCACATTATGCAACGTCACCTGAGCAACTTAAGGCCCTGTCCACACGTAGCCGAGGATCTGCCAAAACGTAGGTATTTTTCTACGTTTTGGCCTGTCATCCACACGAAAACGGAGTTTTTTAAAAACTCCGGCCAAAGTGAAGATCTGCGTTTTCTCCGTTTTGGGTGTCTGCGTGTGGACTAGGGCTGTCGCGGTTGAGGAATTCCCCCTGCGGTGATTCAGGGTGGCTTAATATTGCGGTGTGCGATATTATTGCAGCCCTTTTTTTATTGCAGTACTATCTAAACATAATGTTTACACATTTAAAAAAGGTTAAAAATTGCCGTGCCTTCTTTAATAACACTTTACTGAATGCAGATCAAAGGGCAGTAACGTTTGTTTGTCCGACAGTCGGAGTCCGACTGAACTTAAAAACAACAAAATTCAGGAGGTTAAACTTTTAAATGCAAATTTGGCTGCGTCATCTAACAAATAAGAAACAAGTCCCCATTTTGTTTAGTTGTTTAAAATCAAGCATAAAAAATTACATGTACCGGGCGCGCGCGCGCCCGGGGACGGGCGCACTATCATTTCACTTTCACACACACGAATGACGGTGATTTATAGCTCGGTCACGTCCTTGTTACCTACAAGGAAAACCAGCATGTTAACCATATACGGTTTGAGAGAGGATCTGAGAGGGGTGGCAACATTTCCAGCAACACTGAAAACCCTCTCGGATGGTGCGCTCGTTGCACTAACACACACGTACTTGCGTGCGACTCTGGCGAGCAAAGGGAATCTCTCCCGGTTGTTGCTCCACCATGTCAGGGGGGTTTCTTTAGGGTGGATGCATTCCTCCTGCAGGTAGCGAATGAGCTCCAGCTCGGCTCAAACTCTCTTCGGGACGGTTGCAGAAGCAGTGCTTGTCCGGGACTTCAGCAGGTCTCCGAGCGTTTATTATTATTTTTTTGCCGCTGGTGGCAGCTCTGTCTCGGCCAAGGACTCCGGCTGCGCAGCAGCTGACATACTGAAAACCAAAGTGCTCCCACAGGAGCGAAGTAACGTTTCGTTTTGATACCAGTGCAGCCATCCTTCTCAACATGCATCATTGAGTTGAACCAAGTTCAGTAATCGCGGTGGCCCATGATGCAGCGCGGTGGCCTTCTTCATATTGCGATATTTCATTTTTGCGGTTACCGCGACAGCCCTAGTGTGGACAGACAAAACCGGAGTTTTAAGGTCCGCAACGTCACTTTCCGCGACACAAAAATGCTGACATCACGTGTGCGACCTGTGTTTACACTAGCCGACAGCATGGATGCCCTCAGAGCTGCGCTCGCTTTATCAATCGTCCAAGCGCTTTTTGCTTGTTTGTTTTTGCAAGAGGAATTACTGCTCCTTGCGGAAGACCACAGACGAAGGACGAGGTTAAGAACGGGGGAAGTACTGCCGCCTACAGGTCTGGCATGTCCTTAACAACGTATTTATCCGGGTACGTGTGGACAGAGTTTGTTTTTAAAACGCGGCGGTGTGGATGCAAATTTTTGGAGGGGCGGACATTCGTTTAAAAGAAAACCCGGCTACGTGTGGACTAGGCCTGAATCTCAGGTGAGGTGGTGCTCACTCCTCACCCCTGCCAAGTGGACCTCAAGGGATAAACCATCAACCCTGCTCAATGGTCAACTTTCCTGGCGGGGTCACCCATTAGGACAGTGGGAGGGTTAATCTGTACAGCACTTTTGTCAGCTGCCATGCTGTTTTTAAATGTGCTTATAAATAATTTTGGTATGGTATTATTACATTTATCAGATTCAAGTTATTTCTGTGACTTGTGGGCTTTCTTTCATGGACCGAAGGGAACCAACAATTTAGTCCACATCTGTAAATGGACTTTTACACTATATTCTAATTTTTCCAGTTTCACCTCTTTTTTTAATTTTGTTGCTAGATTGTGTCTGATTAGGACGGAGAGCAATCATTTTTGGTAAATGACCTGTATTTGTATAGAGCCTTCTAGGGTTCTTCAACCCCTAAAGTGCTTCACAACACAATCAGTCATTCACTCATTCACATGCTGGTGGTGATGAGCTACAGTGTAGCCACAGCTGCCCTGGGGCGCACTGATGGAGGTGAGGCTGCTAAACACAGGCGCCACCGGTCCCTCCGACCAGGGTGGGTTAAGTGTCACGCCCAAGGACACAACAGTAGAAATCTCTGCCAGGGGCTGGGATCAACTCTATAACTCTTTGATTATTGGACAACCTGCACTTCTTTTATAAATTCACCTTCTATTTCTTATTTTGTTGCCACATTGTGCGAATTAGGATTGTTGTCTTTTATCTTGAGTAGATAAGGAGGAGGAAAGTCTCAGACATGGCTCATCAACATTTGGTGGCTAAATGCAGACTTATTGAGAAACAACATTATTTTTTGTGGCACCTGTCCTCGGCAGCCTCGCCTCTGTCAGCGCGCTCCAAGGAAACTGTGGCTACAATGTAGCTCATCACCACCGGTGTGTGAATGTGTGTGTGAATAGATGAATGATACACTGTAGTGTAAAGTAGGGATGCACCGATCAGGTTTTTTGCTGCCGATCACCGATACCGATATCAAAGAATGCTGATCACCGATACCGATCACCGATAACGATCGCGTGGATTGGCCAGAAATTTTCTACAACATTATAATGAGTGCTACAAACTACATAATCTGGGAATAAAGGAAATGTAACCTAATCTAAAATGGTCTGTATTAAGGTTGTCACGGTGTGAAAATGTAACCCCACGGTTATTGTGACCAAAATCACCATGGTTTTCGGTATTATCGCGGTATTTTTTTTTAAACGTGCTACATTTTCACACAATTAAATAAACCCTGTATGTCAGGAAATATTGTCTCCAGTTTGTGTCTAAATTTTGCCTAAAATGTGTTATTTTGTAATTATGTTGTTTATTTGTTTACATTTTTTTCCCTTTAGTCTTTAAAATACCAATATTTGCCCATAACTTCTTATTCAAGTAGTCTTCTAATCAGATACTTTTTTACCCTTACTTGAGTAATAAACCCTATATCAGGAAAATATTGTCCTCGGTTTGTGTCCTTCCAGTGAGCTTTGCAGATGTGGGAAAATGTCATCGGGCAGTAATCATTGTTAAATTCATAATTATTCTCGGAGAGAGACCAACTCTTATCTGCCCCTAGGAGCCCCGTAATGCATAGCGTCATTTCAACATGGGGGTGTCCGCGACACGGTTTATATGCAGGTAGCGGCGCTGCGGCTGCTTTATATAGCCACTCGTTGCTTTCTCCCTCAACCCAAATCCTCGGATCACGCATTTTAGCTAAAACGCTAACGTTAGCTTGCCTTGCGTTGACTGTAGTTGTGGGTGATGGTCAAGCAGATGTGTCATGAGATTTGAAGCGTTGCTGCCTTTCACAGACACTTTTTCTGCACGTGCTGCAAACAGGATAGCCGTCTTCTATCAGCTGATCCTCGGCATTCTTCAGATATCCAAAAGATGCCCGTACTTCCCACTTTGTCTTCTTTGAGGGATAATAAATGTTCTGAGTGCTGCCGTCTCCTCCTTTGGCCATTATTTCAGCTTTAGCTTCAAGAAAGTTTTGGTTGTAAACAACAAAGTGCGCATGTGCCGCCGGCAACTTCAGCAGATGATACGGTGGCTGGTAAGGGTCACCGCGCCTACACCGCAGCCACGGTAATCCACCGTGATAATATAGTTTTTTTTTAAACAAGACGGTTATTATTATCGTCAACCTTTTTTTTTACCGGGGTTTACCCGTACACCGGTTACCGTGACAACCCTACCTGATCGGTCTGCCTTGATCTATTTTGAAAACTTCGATTAAAACCAATAGGGGCGCTATCGGCCGATTGGGATCAAATGCCGATCCATCGGTGCATCCCTAGTGTAAAGCGCTTTGGAGTCCTCTGACTCTGAAAGGCGCTGTACAAGTGCGGGTCATTTATCATTTTAGGCAGCAATTCTCATTCGTAACAGGATTGGTTGTAGGGATGAGTACCGTAATAAGTACTTATTAAGGCACCGACCGCATTCAGTGATACCAACCAAGAACCAATTCACATGGTATGAAACTGTGCCTTGTTTCGTTACCATAGAGTCCGGTGCCTGATTTCCCGAAATAGCATGTGCAAGGGCGTTATATCATCAGTCGCTGCAGGCCAGCTGTAAACAAAGCAAGCAGCATAGTAGAGAGAACGCGCTAGTTTGGGTCCACTCCACTAAATGCGATGGGTGGCTGGGTGATGACAACATCGACAACAACCTAAGTGAGGCATCATCATCTCAATCTGCTCCAGCAGCAGGTAAATAAACTGTTTAAGTTAATGTTAGCTCCATATGTTAGCTTCTGTTGCTATCGGCTAATGGTATGTTTGCTTCCTGCTCATAACTCGAAAATTCCAACTTCCGAGCAGGAAAAATCAACTATTTGAAAATGAACGGCAAAAAGAAATGAAGATCCACAGTAAATTTTGTTCACAGCAAAGATTTTTGCTTCAATTAATTTAGCAGTTTATAAAACTACAAGGACCCAGCACACAGTTATTCCAGAGGGCAAAGGAGAGGGACAGGAGTCCGTGGAGCTGGGTTTTAGTTCCTGTATCATTTAGAAACAGTTGTTGTTTAAGGTTTTCATATTGAAGAACTGTACAACACTTCGATGAAAAAATACAAACAGTTCATGTTATTTATATGCAAGAGAGAGAGAGAGAGAGTATATATATTTAATATTTTTTAATTTATTAATTAATAAGCACTCAAAAGTATCGGAATTTGGTACCGGTGTCGATTCCTAAGTACCGGGAACTGGTACTGAATCGATTCAAACGTGTGAGGTACCCATCCCTAATTGGTTGTGAGACTGATCTGAAGCCAGCGATGTTAGTGGAGTTAGATGAAATAAAGCCTATTTCTGCCTGAGAGTGGTGACAGGGTATGATGGGGTTAAAGAGATCCGCCCAATCAGTTATTTATCAAATTAAAATATTAAAATTCTACAAGCTAGATAATAATACCTCGAAAAGTATGTGAAAGTGGACAAAAAGCACCTTCCAGCTAATTTAATTATACAATTTAAGGAAAGACAGAATCTATGATTTGAAAGGATAGAACATATACATGATACCAAAGCATAGGATAACATTGTGTCTCAATACATGGAGTCAACAAGTGGAATGAATTAAGTACAGACATTAAATTGTAAATGGTCTGTATTTGATATGGCGCCTTCTAGAGTCCTGGAACCACCCAAGGCGCTTTACAACACAATCAGTCATTCACCCATTCACACACACATTCACACACTGGTGGTGATGAGCTACAATGTAGCCACAGCTGCCCTGGGGCGCACTGACAGAGGCGAGGCTGCCGAGCACTGGCGCCACCGGTCCCTCCGACCACCACCAGCAGGCAACGTGGGTTAAGTGTCTTGCCCAAGGACACAACGACAGACTGAGCGGGGCTCAAACCTGCAACCTTCTGATTACGAGGCGAGCACTTAACTCCTGTGCCACCGTCGCCCCTCTAAATACTAAAACAATATATACCTTCGAAAAACATAAAAAAAATGATATGATTCATTTATATACGTAGTTCTGTAATATAGAGGAGTTGGAACCTGCCAACTGTAGTTGAAGCAAAAAGCCAGACCAGAAAAGTTGAGTTAAAATTACTTTGTTGTTAACTGAATTTATTTGAGTTAAAGGGGACAGATACTATAAGTTTTTACTTCTTTCTGTTCCTTTTTCATTATTATTTTAGGTGACCTGTTGTTAATAAACCTTTGAAAAGAAAAAAGGATCATGGTGACCTGCATCAGCTGCTTCTCGGTGTCCCGGAGGGCTCTTCATTCATCTGGAGGCAAAGGGGCAGCCAGGCTGCCCGGCCACGAAGCTACAACACAAACCTGTCCAGAGCTGAAACGACAAGAAAAATAATCCAGCAGAAACACTCAGGAGGAGGAGAGCAGCATGAAACCTTTGTGTATTGACTATTGTGAAGAAACATGCAAGAATTATACAAACAAACCATTCTGAATCACTTAAGACTCAGTTTTATTAACAATGAAACGTCAGCGATATTAAAGGTGAAGTGAGAAAGTGCAGCGCCCGGACCGTTGAAGGAGTAAAGGTTGGTTTATGCTTGACGCGTCCGTGAGGTCCGCACGGCTCCGCGCGGAAAAGTTGCGTCATTTTGCGTCATTTTAACAACCACGCCCCTCCACCGCGTCTCCGCACGGCCCAAAATTTCCGCAACGCGCACCTAGGAAATTTTCTAACCACGCGGACGGTCGGACGCGGAAAAACATGGCGGACCGGCAAGAACTAGTATGGCAGAGGTTCGTAAATGCAGATATTTATTTTTTTTATTTTTTTTTATTTTTTTTTATTATTTTTTTTTGTAAATGCAGATATTTGTATGATTCAGCTCTCAGAGATCACCGTGATCAACATGTTGTTAATAATTCTTGGAAAGAAATAGCTCGCACTGTCGGAAAAGACGAGGACGCTGTTAAAAATGCTGGAATGCCATGTTGTAAACAGTAATTTTTACTTCTACTATGGTGTAGTGTTGGATGCATGCCGTAGAGCTCCATGCTGCCCCCTACAGTTTGGGAGAATATTGGCTCACCGCAGAGACAAGCCGCATGAACCATAAACGCTGCAAGTTGTGAAGCGCGTTCCATCCGCGAGCCGCATCACCGCGCGGAAAGTAAATGCGTCAAGCATAAACCAAGCTTTAGGCGGTAACTAAACTTCATTTATAGCACTTATCGCAGACATTGAATCACAAAGATAAAAAAAAAACATAAAGTCATAAAATCATAACGATCTTAAAACTGAAATAGATTAAAATCAGAAAAATAAAGTCATGCAATTATAAAATATCATAAAACAAATGAAAGACGATTACAAACTTGGGTTAAAATAAGAAAACAAAAGATTTAGTTAAAGGCAGCTTTAAATAAAAGGGTCTTCCAGACTGTCGATCCTCCGTAAGGATAAAGGAAAATCATTCCAAAGTCGGGTGCAACAGTCTGGAAGGAGCGATCACCTCCACTTTTATACCTGGTCTTTGGAACTTCTACAAGTGTTTTTGAGTGGCCTTCAAAAGGCTTGATTGGTCTCTTGACCTGACCCCAACATGCACATTAGTGGAGAAAAACTACAAAATGTCAGCAAATTTTCCGTATTTTCCGGACTATAAGCCGCTACTTTTTTCCCACGCTTTGAACCGCGCGGCTTATAATGAGGTGCGGCTTTACTGAAGATTTTCCTCCACCTGCCACTAGGAGGCGCTTTAGCAGAAAGTGAAACAGGTGGAAGTCAAAAGTGGAAATGGAAGGAAGTGCTCATTTTAATTTAGCACATGCAAGCAGCCGGCTCGACGAAGAATGTTTTTCAAATCCATACCCCCTCATCATGGTAACTACACGTATGAGTTCATATGATGCTGCATTTAAGTTGAAGGCCATCGATCTGGCAGTAAAGGAGGGAAACAGTGCTGCCGCACGTAAGCTTGGCATGAATGAATCCATGGTTCGGCGCTGGAGACGGCAGCGGGAAGAACTCACTCAAGCCAGTTTCACCCGGGGATGATGACAGCAACACGGACAGCGACGCTGACATCGCCACAGAAACGGTATGTGACGAAGCTCTTCAGAGGCTGTTCAACTCCGACACTGAAGAAGAGGACTTTAATGAGTTCAGTGCGCAGGAGGAAGATGAATAAACTAATCAATAACTTTTCTGTTTTGTTTGATACTGATCAGTTCAGTTACGTTCAGTTAAACTACGTTTTCAATTCAGTGGATATCTGCGGCTTTTAGCCCGGTGCGACTTATATATGTACAGTTCCGTGTGTTTTTAAAAACTTAGTAGGTGCGGCTTATATTGAGGTGCGCTCTATAGTCCAGAAATTACGGTAAATATCTTGGGTTAATAATAGACTCAGAGCTTTCTTCTAAAGCCCGTACTGACAAGTTGTGTGAAAACATGAAGCTAAACCTTGCAATTATTCTAGCAACTCAAAATGAAATGTCATCTGAAGCCGCAAACATGTGCATCTGATGATTTTCAGTCACTTCACCTATTGCCTAACCAGCTGGTCTCAGGCTAGTCGGAGTTAAAGAAAAAAAACCGGAAATGTTGTATAAACAAGCAACTAAAGCTATGGATGAAAACCTAGTCACGATCATCACCGTACAATTAAAAACATATATCGTATTCTAAATTGGGACAGTCTTCACACATTTGCTGACTTAAAACCGACCTAATAAGTACTTCACGAATATGCTCCAGATCCTCTGGCAGAGTTCATCAGCCAAAGAAATAGCCTTGAGCGTCAAAGGTACCCACAGCCAGAGGTGACTGCTGCATCCCTCTACGCAGGAGCACCTTCAGTAAGTCGGCCTGGTCATTAAGGAGTGCACTGGTGTGGAACTCAGTACTTGAGGAGGTTGTGTTCATTGCGCGGAGTGCTACCCTTCAGTGCATGTGTGTGTGTGTGTGTGGGGTTTCGTAGGCCTGGCGCAGCGCCATGCCTGAGCACCACGGGTCCCCGGAAGAACGAAACAATGAATGCAAGTCAAGGGCGCTAAAAACGCTATTTTCCAACGTGCTTTGCCTTACGCCCTGGATCACACACATGTTGTACTGCAATTTAAATGAAAACTAATGATAGGTGTTTCGGTCATGCCAGTCACGTACTTTCAGATTTATCAGCTTGTAAAAGTTTGTAATTAGCATGACTACATTGGCACGTCGCATATGTGACATCACCATATAATCTCCTCTCCCCTAGCATAGCTGCTACTCACCACATGACCAGATTTATGGTGGTTCTTTCCTCCTGTGGGAAGTTTGCTGAACTTACAGCCCTTTTTCCTCAGTTTTCTCGATGACGTCACTTTCGTGAAGCGCATTTGTAGTCCTGGACTTATTTTCACACAAAACCTAAAATATAATTCCTCCCCGTTCGAAAATAAGCGCGTTCTTGGTATCAAAATGTGTCTTTAAAATTCATAGACATCAAATGTGAAATCTATGGCACAAAACAAGCGGAGTTAGAAAATAGCGTTTTTAGCCCCGTTGACTTGCGTTTGTCGTTCTTCCGGGACCCGTGGAAGTACATGGGCGTGGCTTAGGCTCCCTATGTAGGGGAAACACTGACGTAACCTTCCTAATCACTACAGACAGCAGCTGCGTACTTACAACTTTGAATAAAATAAGGCGCGCCAAGCCTTTTTCTCTGAAGTGATCATTAACAGCATTACCAATTCTCGTGTTCTGTTTCCTGTCTAGAGGTTAATTAATCAACCAACACGGTTGGCTCCTGATTTCATGTCCCAATCTAAGTGTGATGAGCTTGAATCCTTTATCATGAGAAGATCCTAAACATCAGATTAGACACACTAGAACAAAGACTGTGAGCAAGAGGAGTCCTCTCTCCTTTCTCTGACTGATTTCCATAAGATCACTGCTGAAGCCTGACAGAACCCCCAAACCAAAACTTATTGGCTCTACAGGATGTTTAACTAAAATATAGCTTTTAAAGGAAATACTGTACCTTCATTCTGCACAAAACCCCGTAAAGGTATTATGTTTAAAGTGACAGTGTGTATTTTTTCCAGGCGATAGGGCAGTGGTGGGCAATCCTTGTCCTCGAGGGCCGCTATCCAGCGTGTTTTAGTTTCTTTCTGCTCCAACACCCCTGATTCCTGGATAAATCACCTGTTCAACAGCTCATCAGGCTCTGCAACATCCTGTTAATCACCAGCATATTCAAACCAGGTGTGTTTATGCAGAGAAACAACTAAAACCTGCTGGATAGCGGCCCTCGAGGACCAGGATTGCCCAGCCCTGCGATAGGGGGCAGTAGATACAGACGAACTGTTAGCTCTCCTCACATCGATGTGATTTTAACACTTGGTTTTATTTCATTGTATGGCAGCTGTTCTAGTAAAATAAGAAATGTCTGTTCAGTCTTTTAAAACTGCCAACAAAATAACTGGTACTGAACAGTGCCCCCTGACTGATGTCTGCGGCAAAGCTCCTAAACGTCCACCAACTTTAAAACGGCACAAGACTCAGGCGAGTTTCAGCCTTCGGATTGAGAGGAAGTGCACATTATGAAAAAGAATACATTGCTAATATATTGAGCTTGTTTAAGCTTTAAACAGCTTGAGGTGTGCTACCTGATCTCAGGGATGCCGCGGTCTAGAGAAGATGTGCAGCAGCTGCCCTCTCAGCTTCCAGGCTCTCGGACTAAATCCAAACCTGGAACGATAAAACACAAAGCTCATAAACTCAATTTGGATTAATTGATTAAAGCTCCTCCCCTTCTGGTCGGCTCATGTATCCCTGAACGAAACTATAAAAGATCTTTCTTGCGCCCCGAAGGACGCACGTTCTTCAATTTAAACAAAAAGTAATGATGGCAGTTGGGGACCCATGGTCCGAAAGCAGAGGGTCGTGACTCGGGTTCCCTATATGGCTCCTTCATACTTCATGATGCATCTGCTTGTTTTAAATAAGAACAGGCAGGCAGGGGAAACTGCCTTGCTCAAGGGGATTTGGACGCACCTCTACAGAGCAAGGATGGCTTTCTACTTGACTGAACAGACTAACATGAGCCGCAGACGTTCGGGTGCTCATCTACAAACCCAGAGTTCATGGAGAGAAGCTTCGATCTAGAGACCAAAACTAAAATACACACTGGGGTGGAGATGGTGCAGAAGGAGTAGCACCAGCTCAACAGACGTCCTCTAAAGGTTTTACATCCCAAACTTGGAGCATCAATTACTGATCAATGGAGCGCATGAGAGAGGCTCAGTGTTGTGTAACACTTCTGACCCTTTCATATGTTCCACCTCCTAAAAAGACTATTAAAGAGGGTCATAGAACAACGTTGAAGCTGTTCTTTGAGCCTATATACAAAACATAAGAAACTTTGTTGGGAATCACAATGGTCCAGGAGCCACAACCCCATAATGAAGGCCTACAATGGAAGGACGGATTTGCCCCGCCCACTCAGCGGCAGTAGAACACTTTACTTGCTACTCTTGCTGCAGTCCGGCACACACCGGGAGAGTCTCGGCCGTGGAACAGCTTCCTCGTTCTGCTCTTGGCTGAAATTGCAGCAGGATCACAAAATCTTAGAGGTTATGCCATCCGCCATTAAACCAAAAAGAAGGAAATATGGCTGTTTGATGTCATATGATGTTGTTCCTCTCCGCTGCCAGGATTAAAGCCATGAAAACACACTACTGCACATCTAGAACACTCGTATTGACGTAATCTACATGGATATGAAATTGCAACCCTGCAATAGTCTTTCATTTAGAAAATGACCAAGGGTTTTAGGTGTGATTCCCTGTCTAGCCCTAGGTTAACTGTGGAAATTGTCGTGTCCCAGAAGTGGCGCGCGGCAAAAATAGAACCTGAACCAATCTTTAGCGGCAGTGTTTTATTGAAGCTATAATAAAATGTAATTACCGGTATGTTGTACAGCTGTGATACATATCTGTGTATGAACGTGAAAATTACACTGTTTTTAGAATAAACTGTTAACGTGGCATCGCTCTAATTTTATTTTAGGTGGGTGGCAGTTCAAGCCAACTATGAGTTCAGCATCATTCACTTGTCATGAACACATACCAGGGTATCTGCAGGTCCTTAACCCTTTGATGCATGAATTATGAAATCTTCAACCATGATTTTTTAACTTTTTTTTTTTCATTTGTCTTTAGGTGTGGATGAAACTAATTTCAACCAATATTTTTTGTAAAATTTTATAAATTACAAATCATTTATTACATGTCCACCTCAGTGGACAGCGTGCATTCTGAGCATGAAATATGCTGGCTTGGCTTACTGAAGTCCAAATGGAGGGGCTCAAATGCAATAAAGTCTTCAACAGCTGTGCTTAATAGCAAAAACAAATAAATAACAATTTTGAGTACCTGTCCACTGTAGTGACCATTATGCACCAAAGGGTTAAAAAGTCTTAAATTTGCTTTTCCAAATTTAAGGCCTTAAAAATCCTTAAAAATGACAAATTAACCTTAAATAGTTTCCAAAGGTCTTAAATTACCAAAGACCCAATAAACGAGATTCTTTTATTTCTATAAAATTTTCGTGAATTTCTAGTTAGTGTTCAGCATTTTTTGTATATGATGTTGGCGTAAGCGGAACCGTACACATTCGGTTGGTTGTGAAAGGGGGCTATTTTTAGATGAGCACATTAGCTGGTTAAGCTAGTGGGAGCTTGCGCCATGGGGAAGTGCAACATTAATGGTAACTGGATGGCTAATCCCACATTCACTACGTGGTTAGCACCGGTTCCAGGCAATAGCTGGAAATTATAGCTTAAATTTAATTTTAAAAATAGCTTAAATTTCGTCAAAGTGGCCTTAAAAAAGGTCTTAAAAAGTCTTAAATTTGGCTCCCTTAAACCTGCAGATACCCTGCATACAAGAGCTTACATTTTAGCAGAGTTCGCTGCTGCGGGGCTAACGGGGGCTAACGTAGTATCAAACCTAATTGACCTTTGATTTGAAGACATAAATCCACTTTCTATCTGGTCTCTAAATCCAGAAGGTTCTGCTCAGTGCTTGCTTACAAACAAGAAGACAAAACATTCAGACAGACACTCGGTCCCAAGGTCTGATGCAAGGTCTTGAAGCTCCTACAGGACTTTACAACCCATAAGTTAAATAATCATATGTGATGAAGGAACAAGATGTTTAAATGAAATGTTTGAATAATCTGCGCTTAAACCAATGATGCCTTTATAATGAATATTGCTCTTACAACGAATCCATTCCAGGTCTTATCTACACCAGATCAGTATGTGTTTGATTTAACAAGTTGATCATTGTTTACACTCATACGCGTTACAATAAGGTACTCATTAAGGTTAATATTCATCTCACATAAGAGATTTGAAAGTTCTCATTCACAAAGTGTTAAAACATCTTTGTATCTGAACAAGACGTGTTTTCTGAGGAATGTTTGGTAAAGTGCTCAAAGCGTGTCAAACTCTGATTTGCCAAACTTGCCCAAAACATATAAGCGATGAGTTTATTAAAACAAGAATTACTTCCTGATTCATTCAGTTTCTAGCTGACTCTCGAACCGGCCAATTCAGGAATAAGCAATTTTGAAACCATCATCTCCTTTGACCTCCATTCAAAGCTTCTGCAACGCTGCGGCTGACACCAGACAAACGGCTCTTTTCAGAGCCAAGCAAACAGCCTTAGACGCAAACAAGCATTCCAGCTTCCTGTCTTCACCCGGAGGGATCTCAGACTAGACGGGTCCTATCGGAGCGGTCTACGGGTTCCTGATATCAGAGGTTCACTCCACCGGCAGTGTCCATCTCGACCCCCCGGATCAAACGAGAACCTCCACACAAAGGGTGTGTAGACTTGGCACAGATTGCGTCGGATGGTTTTTAAACAATTCTCTAGTTTATAACCAAACGACAAATTATTTTACAGCTCAGACTTCACGAATTCTCTCAGATGCAAAGAATGATTTCACTAAAACGTCTAGCTTCCATTACAACATTTCACATTAAATCACCTCACATCCACTGCATCACATCTCATTGTTCATATCTGTCATGTATAATTATTAGTTTAGGAAAAAGAATTAAATCCATTTTATAAACCACAAACTGACTCTGTCTGAATTAATACGAAGTGTGTTTATGATCCCTGAAGAAGCAACGAACCCTAGAATCTTCTGATTAAACATTCAAAGATCAATCAAGTTGATATTTCATATTTGTATGGAATCATCACATCTTATTGGTCATAATTAATTTGTAGTGTTCCACTACATTAATGTGACATCTTTCTATCTCTAAAGCTTCCTTAAAGAGACTTTACGGACTTTTGAATTTTTAAACTTGTGATCGCCCCCTCAGGCCAAAAACATAACAGCAGCTTCAATAGTAGGCTCGTGCACGAGGCGTGCATGCTGTACGTGCACACTCCTTAACAAAAATAACAGCTGAGACAGTCCCGTGTGTGTGTATGATTGGCCCGGAGGACAGAGGACAGGAGAACGCGCAGCTAATTAATGAAATAATTTGGTTCTGTGCCTTTCTCTTCAGCACAGCCGACAAAGGTTTATGATGGGTCAGTCCTCCTGCATGCTCAGATCATTCCCTTCCCTTGTTTGAAAAATTGTTCCAAAATGAAAGTTGAACCCACATCTTTTTTATCTGTGAATTCAATGCCATTCGGCGAGTCTCAAATAAAAATTTGGGCATCTTACTGTAAAAAAAATATCATTAATGTAAAAAAGAAACTCTAAATAAACTATGTTCACACCCAGAATCAAACCCAGGTCTTCTGCATGAGAGTCAGACATCTTACAAGGTGAGCTACACTCTAGTAACATTCACAGTATCTGTAACATTTATATCCTTGATGACAGCTGAAACAACGTCAAACCAAAGAACGGTTCGGAGTGAAAATGGCTATTTTGTTGCTAATTTGCAGGAAATATCTAGAAGAAAGTTCTACAGAAAGTAGCTAAGGGTCCTCAGAAATGTCGCTAGCTTTGTCACTAGGCGTTAGGAACAGCGACAAAGTGGCACTGCCTCTCTCTCTGCTGCTAAAGCTACGGATAGCAAATGCTACGGGCGATGCCTGAGCGTGAACGCGCATGAAGCAGCCTGCTCGACCCGAGCAGCTCTCTTTTTCTGTGATTTTACAGAAAAACAGGCAATCACAGTAAAAATGCCAGGGCTCATTCTACAGGACCAGGGCATTGCAGGAGAATGTATGAAGAAGACATTTATTATTTCTATACATGTTTTGGCTGTCAAACTTACATAATGCCCCTTTAAGTCTCCCTCCTCAAACCTAAAAGGAGCTGTGGCTGAATAAAGGATGACTTGGACAGAATAAATAATAAGGGTTAAAATCCCTTCAACTACTTAGAAAAAGAGTGTTTATTGTTATTGTAAATTAATGCACATTGGTATCTCAATAAAAAATATTAAACAAAAAAAAAGAGGGTTTGAACCCTTTGTGCTTCCACTTGCTAGTAAAGTCAGCTAAACCAAACTTTTGTGCCCATACCCTAAAGACGTTGGTTAAAATCCTTCCTAATGAACCCTTTCATCCTCTTACTTATGGTTTTGACCTTAGGCTTAGGGGCTACCATCACATTTATTAGCACTCACTGACTGTTAGCTTGAATAGGCTTACAAATTAATCCATTAGCGATTATTCTTCTAATAATTCAACAACATCATCCCC